ATAAGATGTGGTTTTTGGAACTGAGTCATAACCTTATCTGACATTGCTGGATGTAGGTCAAAGCACGGAAAACTATTGGTGAATTGGGAGAGTGTAAAAATAGAATGGAAAGTTTTAGATAGAGGACTCAATATATCAGATGCTAGAGGTATAAGGGAGGGAATAGTAGCTCTAAGGATGATGGAATTGGTGGCTCTTGCTAAGCTCCATGAATGCGCTTTAAGATAATGAACAATTGCCGAAACCGGTTTGGCTCAGTGGATAGAGCGTTGGTCTGTGGACTGAAAGGTTTCGGATTTGATTCCAGTCAAGGGCATGTACATTGGTTATGGGCACATCCCCTGTAGGGGGTGTGCAAGAGCAGCTGGTCGATGTTTCTCTCTCATCGATGTTTCTAGCTCTCTAGCTCTCTCCCTTCCTCTCTGTAAAAAAATCAATAAAATATATTTAAAAAAATAAGATAATGAACAACTTAGGGTCAGTAACAGGCAACTGAAAACCCACTTAGATGGCACCAATCTTGACTTCCAAATGAAACAGTACATCTACAAAAGGAAAAGTGATGGAGTCTGAATCATAAATCTGAAGAAAACCTGGGAGAAACTTCTGCTGGCAGCTTGTGAAGACCCCTCTGATGCCAGTGTCACCTCGCCCAGGAATGCTGGCCAGCGAGCTGTGCTGAAGTTTGGAGCCACTGCGATTGCCGATGCTTCACTCCTGGAATCTTCACCAACAGATATCAGCAGCTTTCTGGGAGCTGAGACTTTTGGTGGTTACTGATCCCAGGGCTGACCAGCAGCCTTTTACAGGGATAGCTTATGCTAACTTGCCTACCATTGCTCTGCAAAGCACACACTCTCCTCTGTGCTATGTGGACATTGCCATCTCTTATAACAACAAGGGGCCACACTCGGTGTGTCTGAGGTGATGGATGCTGGCTCAGGAAGTACTGTGCATGTCACCATCTCCCGTGAATACCCATGGCTGTTCTTCACTTCTACAGACACCCTGCCGAGATTGAAGAGGAAGAGCAGGCCGCTGCTGAAAAGGCTGTCACCAAGGAGGAATTTCAGGGTGAATGGGCTGGTCTCGCTCCTGAGATCACTGCTGCTCAGCCTGAGGTTGCAGATTGGTCTGAAGGCTCAGGTACCTTCTTGCCGATTCAGCAGCTCCTGACTGAAGCCTCCGCTGCCACCGAAAAGGGGTCTGTATCCCCCACTGCTTAGGTCCCTGGGGGGTGAAGGAACAACCACTGAGTGGTTGTGAGCTAATATTTCACAGACTCTTAACAAAATGAAAATAAGGTTGACAGTAAATAAAGTTTCTAAAAGAAAAAAAAAAATAGAGGGCCTCTTTGGTTTGTACAAGAAGACCACATATCCTGCAGTGGGAAGGCGGAGAAGCTGAGGACTTAATAGTGACTTCAAAGTTAATTAAGTGCTCAAATAAGGCAGATCTCTTATGTTAAAGTTGGGGTCCTGGTTAAAAAAAAACTGGGATCCTGACACATGGAATGGAGATATCAGGGTAAATGCCTGAATTTTTTAAAAATATGCTTTTATTGATTTCAAAGAGAGGAAGGGAGAGGGAGAGAGAGCTAGAAATATCAATAATGAGAGAAAATCATCATCAATCCACTGCCTGTCCCCTACCATGGATTGAGCTCAAAACCCAAGCATGTACCCTGATCAGGAATAGAATTGTGACCTCCTGGTTCATAGGTCAACATTCAATTACTGAGCCACATCAGCTGGGCCTGAAGATTTTAATGCCACAAATTCCTCTGAATCTCTGAGTCTGCAGAAGTGGACCACATCTTCCCTAGTAAGAGCCAGAACACCCTGTCTTCTGGAAGACAATGCAGATACCTCTCCCTCAAAAAGCAACAGCCATCCCACCTCCCCTCCACTAGGCCTAGGTTAGCTAGGGAAGTGCTGGACTTGATAAGGGAGAAAAAGAAACCATATCCCGTAGGAGTGGCAAGGCCTAGCCAGAAAGTACTGACAGGAGCCAGAGATGACACACTTGGAAGTGAATTCTAAGGGTACTTGATGAGGGGGAAGGAACATAAAATTGGAAAGAGTCTAGACTGGCTGGTGTTGCTTAGTGGGTAGATCACTGAAGGGTTTGGGGTTAGATTCCTTGTCAAAGGCATGAAGCAGTTAAGGGCAATCAGAAAAGCAGCCAGGCAAGCAGTTGGGAGCCACCAGCCCTACATTGTGAGAGGGATGTCTGACTGCCCATTTAGGCCCGATCCTGGTGGACATCCTTGGACATGCCTCGAGGGGTCCCAGATTGGAGAGGGTGCAGGCTGGCTGATTAACACCCCCCAATCCACCCCCCAGTCCTGTGCATGCATTTCATGCACAGGGCCTCTAGTTTAATTATAATGTGCCTTGGCGTTGGTCTTTTGGGGTTTATTTTGCTTGGGTCTCTGTGAGCTTCTTGGATTTGTGTGGGTTTTTTCTTCCCTATATCAGGAAAGTTTTCTGTCATTATTTCTTCAAACAGGTTTTTTATTCCTTGCTTAATTTCCTTTCCTTCTGGAATCCCTATTATGCAGATGTTGTTTTGTTTTGTGTTGTCCCAAAGTTCCCTTAGGTTCTCCTCCTGCTTTTTAATTTTTTTTTCTAGAAGCTGCTCTATTTGGTATTTTTTTCCATCTTGTCTTCTAGCTCACTTCTAGATGCAGTCCTCTGCTTCTTCTAGTCTACTCTTGATGCTTTCTATTGAGTTCTTTACAGCAATGATGTCATTTTTCATTTCTTGTTGGTTCTTCTTCATTTCCTTAGTTCTTACTCATATTGCCGAATTTGTCTTTCATTCTTTTCAGCCACCTTATGACCATTTCTCTGAATTCCTTCTCTGATAGGTTGCTTGCCTCTACTTCGTTTACTTCCCTTTCTGGTGATGCCTGTTTTTCTTTCATATGCAGGCTGTTTTTTTGTCTCCCCATGGTCTCTCTTCTCCAGATGTCTGGCTATGTAGTTCTCTCTCTCCTGCATTGATTTAAAGGCACAAAATACAACATAACCAAATACAACACACAAGGCATTGAACAGAGATGTATTCACGATATTAATAACCTCCAATAAAGGTAGTCAGAGAAAGGCAAATTAAGGCAAAAAAGAAAAAGAAAAAGAAAAAGAAAAACAGTTTTTTAAAATAATTAAAACAACAAAGAGAAGTGTTTATGGACTTGGAGCAGGGGATTGGAAATTAGATATATAAGTAGGGTGAAATTTTAGCAGGGGATAAACAGAAAGAATAGGGAAAATCTAAAGCAGGAAAGGGTTAAGATAAATAGGACACCAAAAGGGGAAAGGTTAGGAAGAGAGTGATGGCATAAAGGTAGAGTTGGGATAGAATAAAACGATGGTAAAGGAGAGATGAAAATAGAATGTAGAACACTAATCCCAAAGTAAAATAATGAGAAAATAAAATGACACTTTAATAAAAAAGGTAAAATAGTAGTAGTAAAAATGCTGACTGCAAATAAAAATGAAATAATTATGCAAATAAAAATGTAATGATTAAAAAGGTAAAATCAAGTAAGAAAAAAGAAAAAATTAGTTTCTTAAGTAAACGATACAAAAAATTAAAATAAAAAAATTAAAATAAAAACAAATAATAAAATAAATAAAATGCGCAGAAATGAAGGTCATTCACTTCCTCTATTGTTCTGTCTGGCACACCTGTTTCCCAGTCTGTATAGTATTGCAGTTTCCTGTGTTTCACTGCTCTTCAGTGTTGTAAGCCAGTCCTGATTTTCAAGCAGTCGGTGTCTTAATTTCTAGTATTCCTTTATTTTTTATTATACTACAGTCAATTTGTGATTCAGCCCGTAAGTGGCAGTGTTTCTGGGTTGACTTCCAGGACTCTAAGGCCTCTCTAGCCTTCTTTCTCTGTGGCACTCAATATCGGTTTGTGGAGGTTGGCTGGTAAGTCCAAGAAGCCTGAACACCCCTGAAATTCCAAGGCTATCCCTCCGTGTCAGATCAAAATGGGTTGCTCTTTAGAGATACCTCTGTTAGCAGTTCTGAAGACCCCTTCCACAATCACAGATCACACCAGCCCCAACAGCTACGGACTTCTCTAGGCACAGACTTCCCCAGTCCTCCAGCTCCTGCAGCTTGCACGTTTCTCTCTCCCACTGGGATCAGAGACCTCATCTTATCCCCAGCGAAATCTGACCTTTCTGTGGTGGTGTGAATAGCTCCTTTGAGTCCAAGCATTCGTGCCACCTGGGGACTGGTGTTCTGGGGCTCACAGCTGTTTGGTGGTCACCATAGCTGTGGATTTTCAGGCCTCCAACAAGATCCACTTTTCCTTTCAAGATGGCGAGGTTTCCCCATCCGAACCCGTAGCTCCAGAAGGGGACCAAGCCACCATGGGGGCTGCCCTGTCAGAGGAACCCCGACCAGCAGTCCCCCATCTTCACCTGGAGTTCAGCTGTCCCTTAGCTTGCTAACAAACACTGCCTATGCAACCCTCAGCTGTTCTTTCTTTTTGCTCTGGGACAGGCTCGGAACATGTCTCTCTATTCTTCCACCATTTTTCCGATCAAAAAACCACCTCACCCATTTTTTATTTTTAAACTACCATAATGAAAGTAAAATTTAAACATTAAGGACAAAGTTCTGACTATTAATAACAAAATAATGCCAATTCAAAACCCAATAACAAAACAATGCCAATGCAAAATCCAAACTACAGACATGTTAACATTTAAAAATTTAAACATCAAGAGCAAAACCCTAGCTATTAATGAAACAATGCCAATGCAACACAACAATAGATAAATCAAACTATAGTAACATTTTTCTACTAAATGAAAGTTTCTTTTGCTGATTTACTCAAGAGTCCTTGGACTTAGCTGCGCAAAACTTTGCAGAAGACTGGCTAACCAATGCTAGCATAGCCAGAAACATGATTGAGGGAGCAGCTTCCACGTCCTGCTTTTCTGGGCTCAGTTTTTAACTTCTTCAGCCGATCCCATGTTGGTACCTAAGTCCCTTGCGTAGCCTTAGTCTCCTTCCTTTTCTGCTTTGCTGTCATTGGGGCAATTCTCAGTATTTTGAACGAAGGGACAAGGAGTTTCTCTGGGTCCATTGTAGTGATGCATATAACGTTCTAGCACCCAAATTGGTTGCGTTGCTCCTTCTGGAAAGATACAAACCACAACCTCTTTCCCACATCATTATTAGATCTGGTAAAACTCTTGTCTAGTTTGTACCACCAGGCTAAGTAAGCAGAGGCTATTGTACAGGAGGCCCGATGCCTTTCGGCCACTGTACAACTCTCTGCATCACAATTCAAAAAATGTAACACATAACATCCTTCTCCCCCTTTTTTTGTTTTTATAGTTGCATTTTAAGGGTAGGATGGGCTCTTTTTGCTATTGCCTGAGTCCTGATCTATCTCCCCAGGGAGAGCTTGCCAATCCTGCACTTCCAGGGGTGGCATGATAAAAGTTTATTGAGCCTGCTGGAAAGTCTGCAGTGGGGTCAAGGATAAGGACCCTACTATCTGGTGGGACTGCCCCACTTGACGTTTCCCTGCCTAAGGGGCATTGGATTATAATCATCAGTCTTGGAGTGGCATTTGTTTACCTAATGCTTTCCTCTCCTGCATCTTGGACACACTCGGGACTGCCTGTTTCCACTCCCTGTAGCCCTCTGACTTCTATTTGTGGCAGAATAGTCTTTATCAAAATGCCTTACTCTGCCACATTTAAGGCAGCCCCCTTTCCTTTTCTGCTGACCAGTGAGTACCTTTCCCTCCTCAGAAAACCCTGGGCAGGTTTTACTTACAAAATCCAATAAATCAAAAAGCTGTTTATACCTCACAGAACAGCCCCTTGCTTGGAGCATAGCCTTAAGCACGGATATGCATAAATTCTTTTCCTACAATCCTGAATTTCCCATGTTTTACACCTACTTATTACTAAACTGTACTCCTTACCTTCCTTCTTGCTTTCTGCACATGCTTCACTGGAGTGTCCTTTCACCTGACAATTGAAGTTCCCTCACACTCAGGCCTGCATTGAGTGCCACTTGTACCATGCCAGCACAGCCAAGGGTTCGGCAAGCCTGAGGAGGGCCGGTGAAGGATAAATAAAAGATAGACAATGAGAATAAGCTGGGTCTAGGTGGATCTTCTGTGCCTGGCTGAAACCACAGGAAAGATCCAGACTGCAAACTGAGCCTTTATTTTATAGTCAGAGGTAAACAAGGTAATTTACAATGTTCTTGTAGTTTCACTTGTTTTGGCAGCACTTGCTGCACCTTCCACAACCCATTAGCTACCCAAGAAAGATCTAGGGAGCATCACAAGATCAAACTTAATTACGCTAAGAGTGCTGTGCCCTCTAAGCTGGGACTTGTTTGTGGCTTTGCCAACAAGTCAATCTGAGCAAAATCTCAGACATATGCCAAAAGAACTTCTTCACTGATACTGCCCCTAGGCAATGGAAGCTAAAGAGAAAATAAACAAATGGGACTACATCAAAATGAAAAGCTTTTTTTCACAGCAAAAAAACCATCAACAAAACAAGAAAGCCCACTGTATGGGAGAACATATTTCCAAATGTTATCACTGATAAAGGTTTAATCTCAACATTTACAGGCAGCTTATACAACTTAATAAAAGAAAGATAAATGATCCAATGAAAAAATGGGCAAAAGACCTAAATAGAATCTTTTCAAAAGAATACAGAGGAAGGCCAAGAGACACATGAAAACATGCTCACTAATTATCTCAGAGATGCAAATCAAAATGACAATGTGGTACCATCTCACATCTGTCAGAATGGCTATCATCAACAAATCAACAAACAAGAAGAGTTGACGAGGATGCGGAGAAAAAGGAACACTCGTGCACTGCTGGTGGGAATGTAGACTGGTGCAGCCACTGTGGAGAACAGTATGGAGTTTCCTAAAAAAAACTAACAATGGAACTTCCATTTGACCCAGTAATCCCACTCCTAGGAATATATCCTAAGAAACTGAAAACACTAATAAGAAAGAATATATGCACCCCTATGTTCATAGTAGTACAATTTACAATAACTAAGATTTAAAATATATATATATTTTATTGATTTTGTACAGAGAGGAAGGGAGAGAGATAGAGTTAGAAACATCGATGAGAGAGAGTCATCGATCCCCTTCTGGGGATATGCCCGCAACCAAGGAACATGCCCTAGTCCAGAAGTGAACCCGGGACCTTTCAGTCCCCAAGCCGACGCTCTATCCATTGATCCAAACCGGTTTCGGCATAACTAAGATTTAGAAACAGCCTAAGTGCCCACCAGTAGATGACTAGATCAGAAAACCATGGTACATCTACACAATGGAATACTATGTTGCCATAAAAAAGAAGGAATTCTTACCATTTGTAGCAACCTGGATGGAATTGGAGAACATTATGCTAAGTGAAATAAGTCAGTCAATGAAAGGAAAATACCACATGATCTCACTCACTTATGGATAATAAAGAAAATTATAAATTGTTGAACAAAAAGATAGATATACAGATAGTAAAGCATCAAACAGAATGTCAAATTACAGCGGGAAGGTTAGGGAGAGTTGGGGGAGATAAGAGATCAACCAAAGAACTTGTATGCATGCATATAAGCATAAGCAATAGATACAAAACTCTGGCGGGTGAGTGCATGTATGGGAGTGGGGTGGAGGGGACAATGGTAAGATATGTGTACATATAATAACTTAATTTAAAAAATGAGGGGGGAAAAAAGGATGAGATGTAGGGAGTGGCTATAGAGTTAAGCCTCAGATTGACCTCTGAGCAAAGCCACAAACTGTCCCAGTTTAGAGGGCACAGCACTCTTAGCATAATTAAGCTTGATCTTGTGATGCTCCCTAGATCTTTCCTGGGTAGCTAATGGGCTGTGGAAGGTGCAGCAAGTGCTGCCAAAACAAATGAAACTTACAAGAACATTGTAAATTACCTTGTTAACCTCTGACTATAAAGGCTCAGCTTGCAGTCTGGATCTTTCCTGTGGTTTCAGCCAGGCACAGAAGATCCACCTAGACCCAGCTTATTCTCGTTGTCTGTCTTTTATTCATCCTTCACCAGCCCCCCTCAGGCTTGCTGAACCCTTGGCTGTGCTGGTGCAGCACAGTTCTCCCCAAATTCCCTTTCCTGCAGGCCTGGGTCCCCCTCCCCCAACTATCCTCCTCTGCAGGGCTGGTCACCCCTAACTGCCCTCCCTTGCCAGCCTGGTCACCCCCAACTGCTCTCCGTTGCAGGCCCAGTCATCCCTAACTACCCTCCCTGCTGGCCAGGTCACCCCTAATTGCTTTTCCCTACAAATCTGGTTCCCTACAACTGCCCTCCCTTGCCAGCCTGGTCACCCCTAACTGCCCTCCCTGGCAGGCCTGACTGCCCCCAACTGCCCTTCTTGCAGGCCATCTTGTTTCCACACGGAGAGGCCATCATATGTGTTGGGGTGACGGTCAATTTGCATATTACCTCTTTATTATATAGGATACTATGAATAACACTATGCCAACAAGCTGGGATGAAATGGACAAATTCTTAGAAAAATAGAACCTTCCAAAACTAAATCAAGAAGAAAACCTGACTAGTAGAATTGAAGCAGTAATAAAAAACTCTCAGCAAACAAAAGCCCTGGACTGGATGGATTCACAGGGGAGTTTTACCAAATAGTCAAAGAAATAACACCTATCCTTTTCAAACTATTTCAAAAAATTTTAGAAGAAGGGACACTTCTAAGCTATATTTCCAAGAGGCCAGCATTATCCTAATTCCCAAATCAGATAAGGAAACTACAAAGAAAGAGAATTACAGGCCCGTAGATGCTAAAATTTCCAACAAGATATTAGCTAATCAGAACCAGCAATATATTAAAAAGATCATATACATGACCGAGTGGAATTTACTAGGTGTACTAGTTAATAATGCAGATTTTTTTAAATAGATGGAGTTACACATATGTTGATATATATGCGATTTAATATGTATGCTATTTTGTTGTATTGACAAGCTTCATAAGTTCATATGTCAAATTTTCTGAAGGTGTTAACATCATAGATATTTTTATGCTTAAAAATGCCAAATTTTGTCCCCAAAAAGAGGACATTTGTGGGAAGTTTTTTAAAAAAATATTTAATTGATTTTTTACAGAAAGGAAGAGAGAGAGATCGTTAGAAACATCGATGAGAGAGAAACATCGATCAGCTGCCTCTTGCACCCCCCCTACTGGGGGTATGCCAACAACCAAAGTACATGCCCTTGACCGAAATCAATCCTGGGACCCTTGAGTACACAGGCCTTAGCCAAACCGGTTAGGGCAGCAGGAAGTTTTAATTCATTATTTTGAAGAAAACTGCTGCTGAAAGTTATCATATATTTCAGGAAGCTAATGGTGAACATGCTCCATCTCAAGATACTTGTGAAAACTGGTTTAAATGCTTTAAAAGTGATGATTTTGATGTGAAAGACAAAAAATGTCCAGGTCAAACAAAAAAGTTTGAAGACCAATAATTACAAGCATTATTGGATGAAGATGCATGTCAAACTCAAAAACAACTTGCAGAAAAATTAAACATTGCTCAGAAAACAATTCCTCATTGTTTATAAGCAATGGGACAGATTTTAAAGGAAGGAAAATGGGTGCCACATCAACTGAACGAAAGACAAATGGAAAACCAAAAAGTCAACAGCAAAATGTTACTTCAATGGCATGAAAGTCTTTTTTGCATTGAATTGTGACTGGCGATGAAAAGGATTTAATTTGAAAATCCCAAATGTGCAAAATCATGGGTTGATTCAGGTCAACCATCAACATCGACTGCAAGACCAAATTGCTTCAGAAAGAAGACAATGCTCTGCGTTTGGTGGGATCAAGAAGGTGTGGTGTTTTATGGGCTTCTAAAACCAGAAGCCCATAATACACCACATACTGTTAATACTAATCGCTACAGATAACAAATAATCAATTTGAACCATGCTTTGATTGTAAAATCACCAGAATGTGCCAGAAGACAAGGCAAAGTAATTTTGCTTAATGATAACGCACCATCACACACTTCAAAACCAATTAGAGACAAAAGATCTTTCCTGGAAAGTATTATAACCCAACTGCTGTAATCACCAGGCCTGCTCCTTCAGATTACCACTTGTTCCAATGGGTGGCACACACACTTTCTGAGCAGCAGTTCAGAACATAAGAAGTGGAAAATCGGGTTGTTGAATGGTTTGTCTCAAAATAAGAAAAGTTCTATTGGGATAGTATGCACAAATTACCTGAAAGATGGGGGAAATGTGTAGCTAGAGATGAACATTACTTTGAATA